CAAGCCCTGCCTGTTCCCCCAAACCTGTCTTTCCCCCCTACCCTGCCTGTTGCACACCCAACCCTGCCTTCCCTGCCTGTGCTCCCCTGAGCTGCCTGGCTCGGGCACCTCTCTCCGACTGTCTCCCCTGGGCCCAGGATCTACGTGTTCCTCGTTACAGAGATGTCATAAATAATTTAGCTGTGAAAAGGGCTTATTTCAAGACACAGCCCCGCAACTGGCAGTGCAAAATAGCCCTCCCTGGGCTGTCCCCCGGCCCCTTCCCTCGCACCTGGGTGGCTTTGGAGCAGGACAGGCTCCTTCAGTGCTATTGTAGATGGTAGCAGTGAAAGAGGATGCCTAAACATTGATGTATCAGCCCTGAAATGCCTCATTTAGAATAGTTAATATTGGTAATTTGCTATTACCTTTCCTTTAATGCTAATAAAGATGAATTTCTCACATCTACCGTTTTCCTCCTCTCAGTCAACAGATTAAAAAGCAAGAAATTCCACTCTTTTCTTTTTCAGGAGGATTTTCAGACTGAGCTGTCTATGTATTGACTCACTGAGAGAGATTACTCTCTGCCTCAGTGATGAATTAGGTTCAGAAGATTTATAAGGACAAGTTGTAACTCTCTGGAGTTTGGAAGGCTACCTCTGCGTCTGCTTTCCACCTGGCAAGGCTTGCATAGTGAGTAAACAACTTCACTTGTGTTGTTTGAATTGAAGATGGATTTTCATTTTAACCAATAAATAGCAATCCTGGGAGAATGGTGATTAGACCTAGTATGGTTAAGGTAACTGCTTGCTAGGTCCTTTTGTTTCCTTCATGAATCCTACATGAATTATGGCACTGGATGGTGATACATGAAAAAGACTTAAATTCCATGAGAAGCCATCCTTAAAGAGGTAAGATGAGTGCTTTCCTCCCTTGACCTCAAAATGTTCAGTCTGATGGTTTTTAAAGAAGGAAGTCACAATCCTTTGGGACCAAATTCAGGTTTCCAAAAGAGTTTATCTAAAGGAGTTACTTGACCAAAACAGAGGATCGCTTTGATGTATCAGTCCCTTTTCATTCCAAAATCTGTTTATTCCAGGAAAATGAGGAATAATTATAGTGATGCTTAAATACACACAATTGTCTAGTTCATGAGGTATCATTAATGCACGTTCCAGAACTTAAACCTTTGGTTTGTTTAAAGATTTTGTGGGCTTCACAATGGCAGGATGATTTTTAAGGACCATTTTTTTATTATTAAAATTCCATCTGCGGCCTTAAGGATGTATGAAATTTGAAAAACATGCTTCAAGTTATTGTCACTTTGGGCCTTATGGACAGCTGGATTTTTTATACCTTTTTTCATTGAAGCTATCATTCCCCACTATTGCCTTAGCATTTGCCCATTGAGTGTCTTTGTACTCCTTTATTAGGCAGAGAATCTTTGCTTTTATTTTAAAATTTCTCTCCATTTCTTTCTGAAAATTAAAAAACTTATTCTGTTCCTTGAAGAATATCTTTATTTTAGCTGAGTTTCACCAAAAGCATTTATCTTTTTTTTTCTCCTCCCCCCCCCCCATGTTTGATTGAAGACTATGCAAACCATATGGCTCACATGTAAATACTGTTAGCCTGCAGTAGAACAGTTTGAGACAAATTGATCAGGTTCAACAGCAATGTAAGAGTAAGATTAAGGACCTGTGTTCTGCTTGTTAATCGTAGCCCCTAATATCAAACCTGGTTATCACTAAATATTATACTGTGTTCTTTAATCCCTGTTAAAAGAATGAAGGGCTCTGCCTTGCATTCATTAAAACTTCCACTGTGTGCTGATATGAGGTGCCATCAAAGAATGGGATTTAACATTAAAAATCTGCTGGTAAATGATTTGATCTTTATGTAGTGGATCATAGTTTCATCGTCTGTAACAGCTGTATTTCTTCTGGATCTGCTAAGGTGAAAAATGAAAAGTAAATTAAAGGAATGAAAATAAAGAGAGAGGCCCTTCTTTCCTTGCAAAGTGTAGCAGTTTGAATCTCCATGTGTAGAAAGGAACTGAAACCAGGTCTGAGGCGTTTACTGTATGACCCTTTAAAGTTGCTTGTTGCAGTACTCAGCATCCAACTTCTTTTAGCTGCTTTCTAAATCTGGATCTGTCTAACAGTCAGTCTGAAAAAAGGGATGTGAAACGGTTCTCTCATCTCCTTACAGTGATTTATGGGATGATGGCATACTGGTAATGAACTGAGGAGAACGGTAAGAGAGGGAGAGCAGCTACATGATTTGATGTCATTCTGGAATATTGCTGGAAACGCAGTGGCCTCTGGCCTCCTAGGTCGCGGGAAGTTTCTGGCTGTAAATCTCAGGGAGGTGTCTTACAACCGTAAGTACGTGCTTTCTCAAATGGCAAGAGGTTTGGGTAATAAACCCAAAGAAACAGAATGCTAGCGAGATGCCTTTTGGCAGCTCTGTGGATCCTCCCTCGTGCGTGTGTGTGTGTGTGTCTCATTTGTCCATGCACGTCCAGGTCAGTGACCAAGCAAGGTTGTCTGTCTCAGCTGCAGAGGTTGAACTGAGCTTACTATACACCTCATCTGTCTGTTTTGTAAGCAAAATCGAGGCACAGACCTAGGGCTGGCTCTGCCTTTTGGTTGTCAGTTAACCTGCTACTCTGAGGAATGTCGGAGAAGATACTCCACGCTGGTATGAGTTAGTGGTGTTTTCCATTTGCCTTTGAACACACAGCTGACTGCGTATGAAGCAACTGAAGATGAGCTTTTCACCTCCTTCCCCTCAGTGGAAACGTTAGCACTCTCAGCTGGTGCTTATCGGTTCCATAGACAAAATTGTAAGAAAAAATTGTAGATCTTGTTGTTTTCCAACAGGCTCAAAGTTAGCCCCCAAGATGTCCAATCTATCAACATTGTGCTGTTCTCACTGAAGGCAAGGGAAGTTTCTACTAGCTGGTTCTACAAGGTTCAGTCTTGCAGAGTTTATACTCTTTGGGGAGAATAAAAGCACTGTCTTAGCCCATGGTAGGCATCTACGGGTTTGGGATCCAAGTCTGAGTGCTTCTATAAGCACTCATCAGTTTAATCAGAAATGTGAAATGCATCTAGTGAACCGTAAAATGGAGGAAGGAAATCCTGCACTGCTTTCTGAATTTAAAATAAGCTTGCCAAGAAAAATCTAGGTACGTTACCTGATATATGAAAGTAGCTGTTGTAATGAAGATGTGTAACTTTCCATTTGGAAAGCCCTCTTCAGTGTCGGGCAATAGTGATGAACTGTGGATCTGTTTTTCTTAGGCTTTCAGTACAAGCAAGAACAATTCAGTTTCATTTTTCTGGAGAAGAAGTGAGTAGTAGCTCAAGAAAATGACTCTGATGATTTTTTTTTTCATGTTTATCATTGAATCTGCCACTGGTAAGTATAAATCCTCATTTCAACAATAGAACCTTCAAAATATTTGCTGAAGATGTGACATCTTCTTGACAGTTGCTTAGAGTGGGGAAAGTTTTGTATTTTGCAGCTAAGAAAAAAGTCTTAAAAATTTTGGCAATTTCAGTTCCAGACTCAGGAAATTTGGTCCAAAATACCAAAATTGTGAAGTAAAAAGAGTAGAGATACTACCTGGAGACAGCTGGTGATGTTGTATGGGTGCGGGGCTGTATGAAGAGCCATGGCAAGGAAGAGAATGAGTCTGCTTCTTTTTGTGCCGTTCAGAAGTGTGGTCACAGTAGTTTTTAAACAGCAATGATCTCTGAGAACCTCAAGGACAAATAGAGACCGAGGGCTTATTTTATTCTCGACTGTTAATGCTAGCCTATGGCCCCTTTTCTGTATTTTTACGACTTCTGTAAGCAAAGGTCCATTTGGGAATTTTGATTGGAAAAGCAGACTTTGAGACTAAATTTTACACACTCATTCCAAGGTAGCTTTTCTAAAGGTGTCTGAAGTTTGTAAGAAATCTAGCCACATAATCATTTAGTTTTAATTAACAAGGTAAGAAAATGGAAGTGTTAATTCATAGGAACTCTGCTTTTATGGCAGCTGAGCAGTTCTGAGGATGGGCCACAGTTGTCAAGTCAAACCAGATGTAAGAATTTCTCCTTTCCCCTTCCATTTGTGGCAGCTGCTTCACTGTAGAGTGAGGCCAGATTCTGCTGTTTGTGCCCATTTGATTCTGACACTGTTGGACCTAGGTGAAAGAATCTTAGGGAAATGTCCTTTTTTTTTTACTCTCCTTTGCCTTCTGGTTTTGCTTGGGTGAGGTAGAATAAAGACTTGGAAAATGGAGTTCTTGGACTGAAATAAATATTGCTGGAATAAATAAACACTGCCAAACTGCTCTGCTGAAGCAAAGTCACTTTATAAAAGACCAGTGGCACAGCAAATCACTTTAAAGCCAAGCTAATGGCATTTAATGAAAGAAGTACTTGGCTTCCTAATGTATCTTTTTTCCTCTTTCTCTGAAGAGAAGCTGTGTCCCCTTCGTGCCTCCATTGATGTGCTAGAAGGGGAATATTTTTTCCTTTGTTATCTTGAGTCGATGCAAGAACATTTTCAGGAAGAAGCATACACAATAAACTGGTACAAAGAAAATGCTGGAAAGCAGCAACTGATAAAGGAAACACACAGAATTGTTTCCCACATGAATTTCTTGGAGTTTTGGCCAGCTGAACTCAGTGACTCTGGGAATTACTCTGTCACTCACAGGTGGGTACAGAAGCTGGTGGGTGAACATCCTGCCTTTGCACTTGTCTACGAGGAAGCTAATTTCTGTGTCTTGCTTTGTATTGCTAGTGGCATCTGTACAAAGGAGGTGCAGGGACCTATGTTAACTGTGGTGTCATTTTCCCCATCATTTCACAGTAACCATCCAGGCAGGCCCATAATATTTACAAATAGCCATAGGCAGACGCAGCCTTTTAAAGGTTCTGTAAACCTTTTGATAAGGGAAGTAGCATTTCTGCTGCTTTGTGATTAATTACCTAAGCAAATGAGTGATGGGCAACCCTTCTGTCCACTGCCAAGTAAAAGGAAACATTTGCTTGTCTTCTCCACCAGACTTGTTCTTCCTTACTGCGTGGAGTGGATCTCATGCTATGAGGCCTGCCAAGTAGTCTTATTGTACAGTGAAGTGATAAATAAAGAGTGGCAGAGCTGAACCCTGGTTTCTGTGCAAGCCTTTGCGTGCTTGGAGCTGTTCAAAGAACAAATGGAATAATTGGATTTGATTTCTTACCTGTAAGACTCTTTCTACGCTGCAGAACATCCTGAGTCAAAAGGAGAGATAAGGGTGGGCCTCAATTATTTGGTGGTATCTTCATTAGCCCACCATGAAAGACTAAAGGGCTAAGTTAAAGGTTTGCTGCATGGAGTTCTTCTGACTAACTTGCACCAAAACTGTAATTCAGCATTTGCAATTGAAGCAGTAATTCATTTAAAGCAGGTTGTTTTGCGTGTAATGATTTGTGCTGTTCTCCAGGTAATATTTTGAAGGTTCCTGCCTGGTTTGTAAAGGTTATGGGACTGTGGATACTGAAGAATGCTCTCCACATTTATCCGGTTACATTGCAGACACAAGTTTGATAGTTTACAGTTTTAAGCTGGACTTCAGTTGCTCACTTCCAAATTAACTTGGAAGCTGAAAACTTCATGCTTTATTTTTCCATGTATCATGTTCATCTTACTGATACTATTTTAAAAAGTATTGAGTCATGGTATCTGAGATGCTAAATATTATAAATGTAAGCGTGCTGGTAGAATATTTGGGGTTTATGTGATTTCTTTTTAATTGTAGAGCACTCTTTATCCAAATAGTAGGTAAAACTTGAGAAAAATTATACTTACATATGTTGAACCCAATCTTAAGAGAATTGTCTAAAGGGTTGTTGAGTGTGGTAGTTTGGCTACTTTGTTGTGCAAGGTCGTGCAAAAGTGGTGGATGACTGAGTACAGACATTTCTCTGAAGTAGCACGGGTGAAGCCAGCTGCTCGGTTTGGGTATGTAACGGTTAACATTAGGTAATACCTGATGTAGGCTTGTCTGTTGGCATGGACCTGTACTTTTTGTATCAAGTCTGAATTTGGCTTTAAATTTTGGCTTTATTGATGGCCCTGATCAGTCATCTATACAGTCATGTCACTAAATATGGTGCTAAAAAGCTATTAATTCTAACAACTCGCTCTACTGCCAGCACCTAACCAGTGGTATAAAATAAAACTCTGACTTATTTCGGCATGGGGAAGGATAGGCAGAGAACATGCCTGAATTGCCAGGTTACTGAAGGAGGTTGTCATAAGGAGTCTGAAATAAAGGACAAAAGAGAGGAAAGCTGTGATAACCTCAATTCATGGTCTTTGCAGTTTTGTGATTATTTTAAGGACTTGGAGTAACGACAAGTAAGAACATGGTAAAATACAAGAACTCTGTACAATGAATATGGAAAAAATGTAAACTTCAAAACTGAGGGTAACAGCCTTATGTAAAGAAGAGATGACAGGAAAAGACCTCAAGTAAAACTTTTAGGATGAAGTTTGTTAAAATAAGTATTTGTGGGAAAACACAAAAATGTCTGAAGCCTTTGTGAAATGTCTTGATTGGCTGATTTGCTTAAGCAAGAAACTCAGAAGAAAGGTTTTGATTATATCAAAGCATTCATTTGGAATTAAGAGTTTTAGTTTTCTGCTTTTTTCCTTCATTTTCTAGGGCTGTATTAGGCTACTACATTTTAAAACTCAGTTTTGAAAGACAGCATTTTTATTTTGGGGAAAAAAAGTTTCTTAATTAAAAGAATATATTTTGACCACTCTGAAACAACTTTTTTTTGTTTGTTTCCCCAAAATTTCTTTCTGTTAGGCCCATACAGATACTCATTTTTCTGTTAGGCTCAGAATGAAGGCACACACCAGCATCTTTCAACCCTGACACGGGATCTCTTCACAGGTCTCACCACCGGAACAATAGGCATAAGGGGATTTTTTTTTTCATGGGATTTTAATGGGATCTTGGGCTTAGTTTATATGATGGTTCTCACTATTGGCAAGCATATTAAAGGAGTTACGTTTCAGCAAATGCAGAAGATTATTTGCAGAAACAGTCTTCTGCAGAGACAGGACTTTTAGTAGACTTATCGATAGGGAAAAATTGTGGGCTATTGTGGACTGCTGAACTGGTTTTAGGTTTCATAAGACTGACAATTAGAATGGAATTAGGTTCATTTCAGAGCATTTATAAGAGGTTAAAGTTTTGGTTTTGAAAGCAGACATTCTAAGTATATTTATCTTTTTTGTTTTCTACTATTTAATTCAGAAAGAAGTATTTGTAAGCTATATATGGGAAATGATTTTTAAAGTGCTTATAACTGTTCGGACAGTTTTAGTGAACAAAGTGAGAATTAAATATACTGCAGGTTTTTGAGAAGAGTCAGACAACACATGTTGACAGATTTTGCAAACTAATTAAATTTAGGGATGTTTTTTTCCTGTTGTCTTACAGCTGACAATATGCAAGAAGCGAGAGGTGAAAATGATGTAACAATGTATTTATGCTGTATTATCCATTTATTTTTGACTTAAAGAAGAATCAGAAGTTTTCCCATTAACGCAAAAGTGTCCTGCCGAGGCACAGCATAGGTAGCTAAATTGTGCGTATGTATGTGTTGATGTGTTCACGTGTGTTTGTTAGTATAGTAGACTTAGGATATAAAAATCAGGAATTAATAGACATCACCTGTAAGACTGAGTGTGTCCATCTTCAGCAACATTTCTTGAAAATACAGGATTTCATACGCACTTGTAGTGGGAGCGGTAAGCAGAAAAACCGTGTCACGCATCGTTGGCAGGAATTCTAATTTGTATGGTGTTTCATAGCCTATATCCTGTGGTTATCAAAGAAAAAAACAGAATACAAAAAAGCAGGTCATCTGCTTGCTCTGTGCTAGTGACCTTGAAACTGAGGGAACTTAACAGGTTCCTGAAAAAACTGAAAGTAGAGAGATCTGTGATGAACACATGATACATTTTAAGATCCTAATACTGCTCACTTCTTCAGTGTGTTTAGAACAGTTGAAAACAGTGGGAACACAAGCGTTTAGAGTTAATGTTGTAGCATGGAAGGCAGAGTGACAGTTTCTTGCAGTAGATTGAAATATTGAGATAACACTGGCTTGTTGCAGGGAAATAGCTGAGGGATGACTTAGAGCTAGCTATGTATGCAGTAAACTTGGTTTATATTCTCTAAGGGCTTTCACTTCCCTCTGTCCCTCCCCTGAGTCAAGCTAGTTTTTGTTGTTCCTTCTTGGTGGGTTTGGCGGGGGGAATTGAAAGGCTGTTAAGCCAGAAATGGTTTTGTTCCCCACAAATTATCACTAAAGAATGTCGGCAAGTGAAAACCAGGATAGAAATATAACTCAGACACTAGCAGCAGCAGCAATACAGCTTAATGCATTTTTTGGTTGAAAATCATGTATATGGCAGACAACTAGAAACTATGTAAGCCAAATTAATCTTAGTTTGCATAGGTATGCTTTTGTCATCTTCCAGGGAGCTGCTCCTTGCCAGGTTTTGTCTCATCAGGTAGAATATCTTGATCTACTCTGGGTGAAATCCTCATATTTGTTGAAGTGATTTCATCAAGTATGGTCACAGATGAAAGTCTCTGTGGAGTGACAGTGCTGAGGAGAACCTGTGGCTTTATTGATCCTTTTCTTCCATCTGCTGAATCTAGATAGTAAAATCATATGTATTTTACAGCTAGATCTGTAATTGCCTCTCCAGTAGTATATATACTAGTGTGATACCTAAAGAAACACACAGACCTGGTGGGATTATTTGGAACTAATGTTTATGTCTTCACCTAAACTTATCTTTACTGTCAGGGAGAGAGAGACGCCTTTCTGAGGCACAGATTATCTTGTCCTAAACCAAAAATATAAAATAGGTCATGTAAACTGCACTCTAAAGGGGTGGCTATTGACTGTGGTCCCACTGCTGACTGTGATCAGTAGCTCTGACTTAAATGTGTGAATGTGATGTTGAAGAATAGCTGAGAAGGACTCCACCCACCGTGAATACCCATGTCAGTATACAACTCTGATGGAAAAGGTTTGATAAGGTTTTTCCTGTTTATGACACCATAGATAACTGAGAAGCTAAACCACTGTGTTTTGATTTAGATAGTCAGTTGGAATTATGAGTAATGAGTATCTCAAGTGAGTAAGCAGAATAAGGAGAACCTGTGTAGGCTGAAAAAGGGCTACAATGTGAAGAGGGTGAGCAAAACGCATAAATGCATCCCTCTGGGGACCTTAAAAAGGGGGGGGAAATGCAAAACAAACCCAAACTTGCTCTAAATTCATCATATATGATGAATGATATCCCTATAGTTCTTCTGAATCTTGTAACAGTAAAAGGCATGCCAGTCAAGAATGGTGTTTAAACTGATACACTCATCAGGCTTGCTTCTCCATTTCAGCTGCTCTGTCCCCTCAGCCCTTCTCATCAAAATGATTCTTGACCAGTTTCAGTTCTCCTGGGAACAATTCCTTTTTCTTTTCTTGGAGACAGAAAGATTCAAACATATTTATGAAGATATGACTGATACTGGAGGGAAGTGCTCTGTGATTGCTTCTTTTGCTTGGTCAGACCCGACTTGCTCAGTAAAAAAAAGAGAGCTTTATGCACTAATTGTAAAATGTCACCCATTAACTTAGAGCAGCATACAACTTCCCCTTAAGCCCTAACTTTACGAAAGTTAGGCCAACTTTGCCAAACTTTAGCCAAAAGTCCTCCAGCTTCTTTTCCATCGGTAGTCATGTATTTAGACATATCCAGCAATGAAATAACTCGCAGCTATAGTCTGATTCTTTAGAGGAATATGTGGATAGAACATAATTGATATCTAAATGCCAATGGTCAGCTCCTAGATATTCAAAAGAGGCATTTTTGGAGCATATTCACTTGATGTTTTATAGATACTGTGTGGGACGTGATGACTCTGCTTTGGAAGTGGTAGCTCCTGGCTCTTCCAGTCAACCTGGGGTGGCCAACTATTGTAGATCTCTGATCAGTGCAGACTGAAAGACAGAGAGATGAATCCTTTCCAAAATGCCTTGTTTTGGAGACATGCTTGAATCCATAGGTGATTCTGTAATTCATGAAACTTGTGTAGCTTAGAAATACTTCCAAAATATTGGTGACTATCTGCACAGTATCAAACAATGAATAATGTTGCTTTATGAACAATAGCAGGGTTGCCCATCTTATTTTTGACATATTTTACAACCGTATTCTTCAGTTACTGCTTTAAGCTTTAGCAACGCATAGGAGATTACACCTGCAAAATCACTGGCCGATTCAAGGTCCTAAAACTCTTTTATGCTCACTTGTAACTATACAAGATGCCACAGATTGTTGCATCCTTATTCTGGTCGATATAGCATATATTGCCATATTTCATAGATATAATTATATGTCAAATGTTTTGTGATAGATGATTTGGTTTAGGTAACCTCTTTTGTTATGGGAAATAACACATATTTGGAGGTGGAAAAGTAATAAAGGGGAATATAAATAATTAGGTCACTGTAGATGTACTTTTTACCTAACAGATGTATTAGAGAATTTATTTGTATTTTGTCGTATAACTCACTAAGCTAAATTCCTTTAAAAAGCTCCTAAAACTGATTTTGCTAATTTTTTTTTTTTTCATAGCAATGGAAAACAAAATTTCACAATTCAAAAGTGGACCTTGAATGTACTTGAAAAAAATAAAAGCAGCTGTTTCAACAAAAATCATTTAACTACAGAAATTAAAAATGCTGGAACTGGTCATTCACTGAAATGCAGTGATTTATCTGTCAATGAAAATGACAGCATAACATGGTACAAGGTAATTACTGAAACAGTGTCACTCAAATTATTGGCTATAGAAACAAAGCTTCTGATTGCAGGAAAAATTAATTACAAACAAATTTTTAGAAGTATCTACAAATCTTGTAAAGCTTTAATTTCTCAGGTTATTAGGGAAAAAACCTTTAGACAGATAGACAAAAGAGTTTTTCTCTGCTCTCAGATTTGTTAGAGAAATGTACCTGTAATCAGAAATTATTAATAAACTGGTAGTTTGGAATGGTAAAAGATCTGATGCGCATGTCTGTTTGCTGATTTAGCCAGCAGCTGGTTTAGCCAGCTGCTACTTTGCTGATATGGATATTATCCTGACACCAAATGAGGTGCCAAGATATTTGTTTTACATTTGGCACATGCTTGTAAAGTAATTGCAAACTTTTCAATTTTGCCAAATGTGTAACAGATCCAGTTCTGTTCATTTTAGGCAAATCATTGGTCTTCTCTCTACCGGCTTTTGCCAGAGCATAGATGATGGTTGTGTAAGCACCTGTAACCGTTGGCTGTTGTGCTCAACCATGGGATGAAGCCCCCTGAACAGGTTTCTTCCACCCTGTCCCTATGCCTCGCCTTGACCAGTGTTCCTTATTCCTCTCAGGTGTTCTGGTTGGAGTAACAGACCCTGTTCATTCCATGTTGAATCCGTTTCAGGAAAGGATTTTGACAGCTTAAGTACGGGCATCTGGATTCTGCCTGGCAGAATGAGCCGCAGTCCTGCTGCCTTGTCCTTTGGGGCCTGGGAGGATAGGACCATTGATGGATAGGGCCATAGGTGGATATGTTTTCCACAGCAAAGGACCATACCCCAGACTAACCTCTCTCATGGCTAAGCCGAGTAATAGCTTAAATAAAAATTAAAATATTAGCCGATGCCTAGTATTTTAATGCCTCATACCGTGTGAGACAGATGAAGCAGCCATCCTTACGCCTAAATGTCCTTTGGCATTCAATTGGGTGAAAATTTTCAAAGCCTTCCTATCACACCCTAAGCTGAGAGAGATAAAACAGGGATGGTCACACATGCCTTTTGTGTAAGAGCCTGGTAGTAAGCATATGCATCCAGGAATCATCCACCCCCTGGACATTTTCCAGCAGTGATCATTTCCCTTCTTGATCTAAGGTAATTCAGACCAGAACCAAACATTGCTGTGTTTTCACAGGACATTTCACTTAGCATGTGCTATGACTTAAAAAACCCCCAAAAACCAAACCAGAGTTTGTTTGGGGGGATAGGGAGGGTAAACAAATGTGAGTCCAACTCTTGTCACTCTCTGAGATGGTCACTTGCCCTAGTGTTGAGGTATTTTGCTTTAACCTGAAAGCTCCTTATAAGTCTAGGCAACTTTTGGCCACAAGCAGATGACACCTACAGACCCAAGCCATCATTTCGAAAAAAATAGATGAGTGCATGTAAATTCCTGATACAGTATTTTTATACTCAGATGCTTACTTGGAATTGCAGTGCTCTCAACTTCTAATGCGTTAAATGTTCAAATGTTGCATTTAAGGGGCCCCCACTTCTTTGGGTGAGATAAATGCCATTGAGATAGTGAAAGAGTGATGGTGACACTTTGTTTCAAAAATAATTTTTAACTTCTTTAAGGTTTTGAAAGTATGTTTGGTACAGAATAGTATTTTCTGTCTTTATTGATGCAGGACTGTAAGAACTATGAAAATGAAACAGAGCGGGAACTGGATTTTAAAACCTTAACGGTGCAGCACTCTGGGATATATACCTGTAAAATTTTAATCAGTCATGAAGGAAAGATATACCACAGCACAAATACAATTAAGCTGGTAGTAGAAGAAGGTAAGAAAGCTTTCTGAAATTTTGCTTTTTTGTTTACCTTACTATGGAGACTTTTAATTACAGCTCTCGTTTGATAAATAGATGCAAGGGTGATCCAATCTGATAATCTGAACTATTTCAAAATAATTTCAAAAATAAAAAAGCAGAAGAAGTTTATATGACATATTAGCAATTTTGGAAAATTTATTTAGTTTGTTTTCCCTGCAGGTTTTTTTTTTTTTTTTAATTAGCTGCTGTAAGTCAGTCATACGAACCTACTAAGAGGTTTGTGGAAGAGCCTTTCCAACCATTGTAAATTGTGCACTGTATGTGTATGTATGTGAAAAATATTCAACAGGTCATACTGTGTTTTAAACTACTCAGTAATGCCAGAGTCCAGATATTGTTCTTTGAATTAAATGAAATCTATGTGATTAATTTTACAGATAAAGCAAATGTGTAATTTTTACTGTGGTAGAATGTAAGTAAGCTATTACTTCAATAGCAGCACTTCTTTCTATTTTAGATGCACCAGAGGCTGTAACTTTGGAGATAGTTGGACGTGATGAAGAAATTGAAACAGAAATAGGTATCAAATTAGTACAGGAATCTTTGTGGGAGCTACTGCATATATATGCTTTTATTCTGATCTCTTTACGGTTGATGGTCTGGTTAAGCATAATCAAACTAAGAATTGTCTGTGCACCCTCCTGGATCTGATCCATCTTCACATCTGGTTATGTTTTGCCTAGTGTATTCCATGATTGATATACAAGTACAGTAAATTTGCCCTTTTTCAGAGGCATAAGCTGAGGTTGCTGCTGTGACCAGCAAGAGACAGTGGTGGTGATGATAAACCATCTCTCCATGGCTTTCTTTTGTAGATAGCAAACCCCACAGAGTGATGTGTGAAAGATGTCCGGTTTGTTCAGCAAGCAGCAGTAATGACTAATCCCCTAGATACCCGGTGCAGCTGAGGATGTTATTCTGCAGGGAAAGGAGAAGCGTGAAGGCTGACAGTCCTGGCAATGTGGTCATGCAGACCTGTCACTGCTGCAAAGAATTGGTTACCTTGTCAAAAGCCAAACCCTTGACTGTGCTTCTAGATAGGAGTAGGTTAGGTAACACAGTCTGCAGGCTTCATGTGGTATTGGACAGGATCCAGGATTTTGTGATTGAGGCTGTAATTAATTTTTAAACCCAGAAATTTACCTGTCTTTTTCCTTACCTGTGCCTGAGGACTTGTCCCAACTTGTTCCCCAGTCCTTCCTTTCCAAGTCTGAAAAATCATATTTTCCTCCTCTGTTGCTCGTACGTGTATCTCATTTGCTCAGCCAGGACCTCAGATTCTAATTTTCCTTCTTTCCTACAAATACAGTTGGTAGGTCCTTTTTCCAGTGGTAGTACCCCAATCCTATGATGCCTTATGCCTCCCAACCTCCCAGTACACCCTTCTTGCACAGTTCTTTCCCCTCACTGTGCTTGTCCCAAGCCTTAGAAGGTAGCAGTGTTCACCATTAAATGAATCATCTGTCTTCCATCTCTTATCTGCCTTGATAAGATCATTTGATAAGGTCATGGAACTACCTAGTGAGTGATGAGACAGATGGCATGGTGGAGAATGAAGGGAATTTTGGGTGGCCTTTCAAAACTGTCATTGCTTAGATAGTGTTCTATAGTATTTTCCCCAAAACAGCTGTTGTGTATGGCAAAAAGGCTTGCAAAAAGAGTTGCAAGGTAGATGATATGAGAAGTTTAGGTCTGTGTTTCAATATGTGCAACTGTGATTTGGATTTCTAAGGTCCAAATGGAAGATGGGCAGATTTTCAGTTGGATCCTGCTTTAAGGGTTCTTAAGCAGTTCCACTGGAAGCATCCACTCTGATAAATCTCAAGAAGGCAGCTTATAAAGTGTCCCCTTGGAGAATTCCTGGGCGGGCTTTGCTTACTGGAAAGCATTTGTGCATGATGGCCTGAACAAGAACATGTGGCTTTTGTGGCTTAATAAAGGGCATTCTGGATGCGTTCCCTGGAAATGATGCTGGCACAGCCTAGAAATGGTGTAAAGTTGCAGATACACTCAAGTCAAGCTTCCCATGACAATGTTTAAGATAAAATGCCTTGCAAATCATCAAATCTCACACTGCAGAGCTGCAGCCTTCTGCCTTTATTTTCCCAAGCGTACAGTTGTCGTTTTACTTTTGCTCTTATAATTAACCAGACTCTAAGGGGTGGTTCCTGTCCCTTCCAGTTAGTGCTCTGAAATGCTGCAAAGTAGCTGAGTGGCTCAGTAACTTAATCCACACATTCAGGATTACGCTGATTTCCAGGTGGGAATCTGGGATGAGAATTTCTTCTATGAGACTTCAGCAGGGGCTCTAATGGGTTTTGTTTTTTCTTTGAGTAATAGCATATACTTTAGCTATTATAATCAATTGGTTGTAATTCCCCTTACCAGTTACTTACTTTTACCTGGCCCTGGGGCACTGGTGATAGGTTGTCCTCTCCTCTCCTCTGCCTGCAGCACACAGTTTAGTTCATAGAATCGTAGGATATCTCAAGTTGGAAGGGACCCATAAGGATCATCGAGTCCAACTCCCTTTAAGTTCTCTAAAGCCTGAAATGCTCTGGCCTGTTTAAACTCTTCTGAGAGTTTATCTGAGAGAAAGCAGTGGATGACTGTCACTCTGCAACAGGGTGCAAAAGAGCCCTGTACATGGTTGCCGAAGCCACCGCCAGTGCAGCTGGAACACGTATGAGACATCGTGCAGGGGCTACAAAGTCCAGAAAGGAGCACAGCTCGTGTGTTAAATTGCCTGGAAAGCTGACATTTTACTGCACTTTGAACATGAATGCTACTTCTGACTAGGTCGTCTCATGTTTGCTTTGTTTAGGTAAAGAAGAGATACTCAATTGCACGGGTTTCTTGGGTTATATGCAAGAAGATGCCAGCCTCTACTGGTTAATTAATCAAAATTTTCCAGAAAAATGCTCAGGTATCCCTGAGAATGGACCTTTGATATGTGAAGAAGAGTTAAAAAAATTACGGTAGGTTTCCTGAAAATACTGCACTTTTGTTTGTATGTGATAATGTCCTGCGCTTTGTGGACTTCAAATTCAGTAAAACGTCTGAGGTTATTTTAGAACTTTTTTTCTCAAAATCTGTGTCTCAGCTGGTTGTAGGTTTCTGTACAGAGAGTGTTGCTAACCCCATTCCTTGTTGCAGATTGGGAAACAAGTTCTATGTTACAAGGCTACTATGGATTAGAAAAGTAACAGATGAGGACATGCATCATAATTTCACCTGCATGTTGCAAGCTGATGAAAGAACACAAATAAAAACAGTGACATTGAAGAAAGGTATGGTATAATCTATGGATCATACAATTGTTTAGGTTGGAAAAGACCTTTAAGATCACCCAGTCCAACCGTTAGCCTAACACTGCCATCCCACGACTAACCATGTCCCTAAGCATCTCGTCTACCTGACTTTTAAATACCTCCAGGGATGGGGACTCAACCATTTCCCTGGGCAGCCCGTTCCAATGTTTGACAACCCTTTCGGTGAAAAAAATTTTCCTAATGTCCAACCTAAACCTGCCCTGGTGCAACTTGAGGCCATTTCCCCTCGTCCTATCACCGGTTACCAGGGAGAAGAGGCCGACCCCCACCTCTCTACAGCCTCCTGTCAGGCAGTTGTAGAGGGTGATAAGGTCTCCCCTCAGCCTTCTCTTGTCCAGGCTGAACAACCCCAGTCCAGGCTGAACAACCGCATCATACCTCATCATTAATCATACCAGCCTACTCAATCCTGAGGACAGGGTACTGATTTCAGAACATCTCTCTGGGTATGGCTGTCTGCTTATGAAGGCCCTGGTCCATCTAGTGCTGGACCTAACAACCCCCCTGGGTGATTTCTCCTGCTCTGAGGCAGGGGCAGCAGGGGTTGTCTGCTGGAGCAGCTGTGGGAGGGCTCCATAGTTCACCTGCTGCTGCTGTGGCCACAGCCGGGGGAGGCTGAGCTGGGCTCTGGCTGATAGACCCCTGGGTGGCACCTTGTTAGGTCCCACGACAGAGCATTCCCTGTGCTCCCCTACTCGTCACATTGGTGGGATCACAGGGGTTAACTACCCAAAGCTTGGTGCACCCCAGAGTCTGCTGTTTGGATCACTTTGTTTATTAAGCAGCTCTTTCTAAAATTAAAATCTGAGAGTTTGCATGGGGTTTGTGGTTTTTCTTTTTTCTTTTTTTCTTGGAAAGGTCAGTCTTTTATATTCCTGATAATGCCTGAAATGTTCTGGCCAACAGTTTCTCTCTTGTCATCTCTCTATCCTTCCAGATACGGAAAGCTGACCTCTACACTGTGGTAGCACTTCACATTTATACTCCAGACAACATGGGGATTTATGGCAAATGGGCATTCCCTTCTTGTTTTCCATCTCTCTCAGACCTTTTCAAGCTTTACTGGGAGGAAATACATGAAAATAGACTAGTCGAAAGATGATGTATATAATAAAGCACATGACATACAGACTACAATGAGCATGACTTGACAGTGGCTTCATAAAGGCTTCACAAAGATTTAAGGGTTAAAAATCTGTATTTGGAACTAAAAAGACAAAGATAACGGGGGGGGTGGGGGTGAGGGGGTGGTAGGAAGCCTGAAAGAGACTAGAAACAGAAGGAAAAAAAAGATCCTGGCCAAAGAGATTAAAGAACTGTTATGGATGGACTAAGAGAGGGATGGAATAAAAGAAAAAAATAAAGAATGCAAAGAAAACTCATCATAAAAGTGGGTGACCATGAGTTTGGGCTGCTGTACATCTATGAGGTTCTATAGTGTCAGTCTTGATCCCACACACAGTTCATTTTATGTGTGTGGAGGGTGAGTGAATGCATGCAAGATTGTTTCTCCAGTTTTTAGAGTAACACATGTTCTGTAGTTCTTCATCTCAGGACAGATGGCATGCATATGTGCTTGAAGTATTAGCAGGAAAGGATTCACATCAACACTGATTTTTGGGGGTGGTTTTAAAATGCCATCAGTATTGAATACAGTAATCTTTTCGTATAATAGTCTTTGTTAAGGCTATAATTTCCTGGGTTACTCTTTTACAGGCGACACCCGAGACCTGCCTGTGCACATATTTACAACTGGAATCATCCTTGCGGTACTATTTTCATGTGTTGCTGTAGCTGCGGTATTTGTCTGTGTGATGTTTAGAGTCGACTTAGTTCTATTTTACAGGAACATATGCAGAAGAGACGACACTGCTGGAGGTATGGCTTGGCTAATGCTGACATTGAAATAAGTGTATTGCTTAAAAAATGGTTTGTGGTAGGTTCTATAAAACAATCATCTTTGAGGAAGAGACAAAATAAATCCTGGATTTTTGTGAGTGGAAATAGCAAAGACTATGTAAAAGAGAACTTGATGGTCAGGTGCTAAAGTGAGTTTGTTGTACACCTGGAGCAGTAACAGCCGATAAACACACTGAAGATGCTGGCTCTGGAGCAGATAGTGGAAGGGACATGGTTAGATGCTGTTCAGATGCGCTCTGCTCTGCCATATTCTTCATCACAAAAGTTGATGAAGGTCGAGAAATTTACAATTATGTATCTGTAAACAGGATGAGCACTCTGGACTTGTCAGACAGGCGGGGTGACAGAAATTTGTTTTCACCTCACTGGTGCTCTTCAGTGAGGTGAAGGTTAAAATGCTTCCTTGACTGTAGAGGCCATTTCAATGTTAATAGGTTTGTCACTAAATGCACTTGAGGAGGGCAGGAGAGCACACTACCAGTATCTTACCAGGGAGCATCACTGCGACCTTGACTTAAGGAGCAAGCCTGACAGTTACACAATTCTGGGTATAATTTTTCTGAAAATTGTGGTGAAAAAACTTGCCGTATATACGTACCTGATTTCTTTAGCCCTCCTTAGGCTCTAAATCAGCTTGAATATAGCTTGAATGAACCACAGTGGTTGGAGATTTCTCAGTAATGGGTGGAAGTCATTGATGCTTGCCAGTGTTATGTATCTATCTGTAGATGTTGGGTGTCGCTGCGTACACTGGCTTACAGGGAGGATCTCCAAGAACCTGGTCTAGGCCTCCCTGGAAGAACTGACTGTCTGATACTAGGCAATGGTTTTCCTCCTCCTAGAACTCTTGCATGTGTAGGGTTTCATGGGCTTTAGTTTGTGTTCTCTCTTATGAACTACATGTAGTAAAGTATCTGGAAAGGGAAGCGAAGAAGTACAGTTTAAGATGCAAAGCTGCGTGCACCGCTGTATCAATTCAGATAGTTGTTCTGTGGCAAGGTTCAATCAGATATCACTCAATGTGGTAGACCTGGCCTCTGAATTGCTCTTGAATTTTGTGTTTGTAAATTACTGCCCAAAGCATGACCCATGGTATACTCTAATAATTAAAATAATAAATTGGTTTATTATTCTTTTTGCCAGTACCCATTCTACAGAACTACTTGATAGTCATAGATGAAGAGTAAAATAAATGTGGAAATTTGCAATATCACTTAAATAGCATTCTTATCAGGTTACAGACACATTTTTTTTTGCTTCCCTTCATTTTTTTGATCATCACAGATGTGACATTAACTGGTTAAGTTAAGCTGATTTTTTTAAAAAACAACTTAATGTAGAAAGGATATGTTATTTTCAAATATTTGCCAAATGCAATCAGAATCTTTTGTATCAAATTTAAATTGATACAGGATTTTTTTGTTTGTTTGTTTGAAGACTGTTTGGGGTATCAAAGGAAAGAGCAGGTTTTTCTAGATGCTTTGCTAATAAGACAATAACTTTGAAGACTGAAATGGTGGATCAGATACTCTGTTGGTTGCTAACATGACACCAATTGGTAATTTCTTTACAGATGGAAAAGAATATGATGCATTTGTGTCCTACCTGAAAGACTGTGTTTCTCCTACTGAAGAAGAGAGAGAATTTGCTTTAAAGATATTACCCATGATATTAGAAGAAAACTTTGGGTACAAGTTATGTATATTTGAGAGGGATGTATCCCCTGGAGGAGGTAAGTGTATTGAATATTCTTGTCATTGAATAGTCACATCATTTTCACACAAAGGTAAAAGTCTGTAATTAGAAGGAATTCTGTCAGATGTGTTGTGCATTGGGATGCTACATTTTTCATTTAACCTAGACTACATGCATTCAAATTTTGCATGCACACATTTTACATATTTTATAGATATATTTACAAAGCCATATACACCTACACACATACACACACACATCTTTAATTACACAAAACTAAAATGAACAGATGAAAAAGCTAGCATGGAGAAAGCTAAGGTGAGAACACAGATGTCAGATGTTTTACAGTAATAGTGCTCTTGCTCTGCTTTTGCTGAGAGCAGGCACCTATGAATGAACTCACATTTACTGCACAGAGCAGCTGCTGCCTCTGGAACTAATTATTCTCAGGTAACTTGTATGTTTGCTGTATCTTCAGTGTGGTGGTTGAAACCATTTTGTGAACGTAATGGATGCCATAACAAAATAGAAATGAGAACATGGAATTTTGTTTCTCTAAATGGTCTATGGATAGATGGCCTTTTGCAGATGCTTGGAAAAAAGATACTGGGGGATTCCATTTAGTCCAAAGATCTAGCTGAGGAATAGGATTTCACTGTTAAAGACGCAGAACAATAAGGTCAGTCAGCCTCCTTCACAAAGCAGGATCTTCTCTCCTTGTATCCATTCTTGACATATTTTTCTAACCTGAGAGGTGCCACAACTCTCCCAAGCCATTTTTTTGAGTTATTCTTCCTCCTTAAGTATTAAAAATAAGCTTTCTGAAGTGTTCAATCTGATTCTTTCAATAGTTTTAGCTTATTTCCTTCTCTCTGGTCTGATCCATTGTGAATATGGAAAACAGAGTATTTCCTTCTATTTACAGGAGCCTTTGGTGTGTTGTAATGCCCTTGCCAGCCTCCTTCTCCTCTC